AAAAAATATATAAGTAATAAGTATATAAGAAAAAATTGGTTCAAAATAATTTTTAGTGATGATAATAATAATGCAAAAATCAGCTTGCACAATCACCTATGTGAAAAATTTTTAGCCTTAAACAAGAATACAAAAACTAATCAAAAACGCGTGCAAAATGAAGGCCCCAGCGAAATTTCGTCAAAAGGCATTCATGTATTATAACGCAAGAAGAGCTATGTTATTGCTTTGGTTTGTCATCTTTGGTTTTCTACAACAACCGACTCTAGTCTTTTTGTTTGTATTACTTTAGCGTATGAACTGTGAAAAACCCTCTTGATTCTTTTAAATGTCTCAAGGTCGTAAACGGAACGCGCCGTATTCGTAAGATCAAAAGGTTCTTCAATGCACAGACATTTCCATTGATGAGGATCGTTTTTGGGAGCGCGAGCGTACCGACACTCATCAATTGGCACGTAAGAACCCAAACGTACCGAAATAGCGTACGAATCGTAATCAAAAAAGGTGTAATAATGTAAAAAGCCGACCAACAATTCACCGAGAGACTGTTTGTTGTCCGAAAAGAACGGCGGTAGTTCTTCTTGCACGTCTATGTTGTGTATTTCGATGTCCGGACTAAATTTATCCGGATAAAGACCGTGCAAACAGGGAATAACCGGTGGAGTAACACCGCCTAGAATATTTCACATAAATATCAAAATAACGAAATGATCAAACAATATTATGAGAAATAAATAACACTTACACTGAAGATAATGTATGACCATGAGGGCAAGTGAGTAACTGGATATTGTCATGTTTTTGGCGTCGTTAATGTGATTAACTTGAGCCCACAACTTAACTATAATGACTAGAGGTTGCACACGCCAGTCCAAATGAGCATAACAGTGTAACAAGTGAGTATTACGAATGCCTACCGAATTGTTACAGTTTAAGTCGATTTCGAATCGTTTCTCTGAATCCATGAACTTTAGGATTGGTACCTTGGCATGTATTACTTCCGGTGATGTGACGAAATCTGTATGTATTATCGAACAATTTTATCCACAAGTCGCATAAATTAAATCAAGATTAACTTGTGCTTACCACACTGCAACAAATAACTGCGTATAAGGTCCAAGTATCGTACAGAATCGCTTCGAGGATCGTTTGAAAATGTCCGCACTAGGAGGCACATATCGATGTCGCTGTTGTCTGTAGCTAAACCAGACATGGTCGAGCCAACCATGAAGAGACCGAAACGATCTAATAAATTCTGTAAAATCAATATCTGCAGGTAATTGATTCTCTTCTCTGCTTTATTACGACTTACACCTATGTGAAGATAGAGTTTACTCCACAGTTGCAATTTCTGTATATATTTCTCTTTCTTTTGTACTCTTGTGTGATACGTTTCCCAAATGCTTTGGTCCAGCTCGTCCCACGGGCTACCGCTTTTGTGAAAGCCCATTATGGGATTTAACAGTAAAGTGTTAGCCCTGGATGTAAACCTTTCCATTAAACCGTGAACTCGTCTTACCATATCATCCGATGATGAGTGTTTCTTATTTCTTACTGGTCTGGTGATGGAATTTGAATAACACCTAGTCATGACTAAATAATATCTTTTTTATTTTTATAATTGTCTTTTACTCACCTGGTTCTATTGTAATTGCTATTGGGTTGTTGAGGAGTGAAAGGATGCAAATAAAAGTTTGGACTGTTGCAACGATTGTAAATAAATGCTTTTTGTAAACGACAATTGTCTCTTAGAATTTTACTTTTGCCTTCTGAAAAACAGTTTATCTAATAATCGTTTATTTTTCAAATATTCATAAAATTGGCAATATAAACGTTACCAATAAAAAATACAAGCATTAACTGCAATGAAATTATTTATGCAAAATGAATTTGTACACCTCTTAGTTATCAGATAAAATACCTCCCTGTTTGTGCAATATCTTTATCACATAGTTTTATAATGCTTAACATAAGAAAGGGGGCTGTTATTTCTTAATTTAAACTTTACTCACCATTTTTGTCTGATGCCTGAGATGCACAACTTTCGTCACTTTCATAGCCCTGAGATGTTTTTGACCTAAAATTTTCTTTCAGCTTCTGCTTACAATTTCTAACTCCATTGACTCTGTTATTAAGTGTAGATAACTGAAAATGTGGTAACATTTTGTTATCCGTTGAACCATCTATTTGCAAGTTGTAATTGTCCATTTCATTCACACTCCTATTTTCCAAATCGTTTCGACATTCCATATAACTAAGATTAATCGGAAATCGAAAGTTGTTAACGTTATAATTGGTGTCTTTAACATGAATGTTCTGTTCCTTCAACATCATTCTGGAATTGTTCCTGATTCCACTTCTGTCCACGTCGCCAAAATTTTCGGTCTGTAACACGCCAAAATTTAACTGATTTCCCATATTCGTCTGAGAAAAATGCAAATGCACGGGAAACTCATTTGCCATCATTCTATTTATAATTATTTATTATTCTTTTATTTACAAATCCTCGCAGCACAGGTTAAAGGTTATGTACACTAATTCAAAACTCGATAACTATTCTTTTTAAAATGTTGCTTCGCGATAACTTGTTATCACAAATAGTTCATTCTGTAGTATTTTATTTTTAACTTTAAGAACTTATTTAATAAGGTTTCATAAACCCTCCGAAGCTTTTAAATATTAAAAAAAGCTGTTAAAAATGATTTGATACGTGATCGAGTTCAGAAATATTGTTAGGCCACACACAATACACCGTGGAATAGATGTGTACATAATTCACTAGTTTAATGATATTGCAATGCACAGGACCGCATTCAGTGAAATTTTAAAAAGTGGCAGGGACGTACTTCACTTTTATAAACGATTTCTTTTACCCAATAAAAATTAACATAAATGAATTAAACAAACATATCAAATGCAAAAGATTTATTTCTCAGACATAAATTAGAAGTACTATTTTATTAAAGTACAAACTATATATGATTTGTAAATACATGTTTTGAGCAGACCCTAGAAGCACTGATTTCGAAATTTAACCAACAACGTAAGGGACAGCATAGTCTGAAATAAAATGTTAAACATTTAATTAAAAAAAAAAAAAAAAACA